TGCTGTTTCTGTTGCCCACCCCATTTCTCCACCCTTTATGGTAATTACTTTGGTACGTGGTAAAGCCTGGTACGATTTCCATTTCATGCCTCAACAACACGTGGTACGGCACATGATTGAAATAAATAACTAGAGAGGCAAATGGTCTATGGGAAGGTACAATTTGACACGCTGACGATGGTATCTCCTGTTTTCATACTATGAATGACCACTTTGAAGTTCAGGTTTAATCCCTGTCATGCTTAAGGATGTCTTTTAATTAAGAGAATAGTTTAAATTCACTTATTAGGTCTGTCCTTCAAAAATGAACCCTGTTTTTCAGATGTCAGTTCCTGGCATCCTCTCAGATTTCAATTGCTTAGGAACATTTTCTCCATTGACACTCATAACAAGCCTTCAAAACAAAGTCGTTTCCTTCTGATGTTTGTAAGGTACAAAATAATTGCTGGTTGTCAGTTTACCAAGGGAGAGTGAGGAAAGGACTCTACTGGGAAGCTTTTAGAGAAGGAAAAGTGGACTGCAGTTGGTAGGAATAATCACCAGACAGGCATGATCTGGCGAGAGCCCAGGGCAAAAGAGGACATTACCCCAATGTCTGGCAGATTAGCACGGTAATAGACCAGGCATCAATCTTTAAAAAAATAAAAGTGCTTTTGCAAATTTGCATGATTAGCAGATGGGATTATGAAAATATCCTTTCTTTACCCAAAGTATGTCTGAAATACCCTTTTCTTTTTGTTTCTTTTTTGCATTCTACAAAGCTCTGGGTCTTCATTCCCATACAAATGAACTTTACATTATCATAATTTCACCACTTCCTCTATATTATACTCGAGTATCAACCTCCTTTGGTAGGGAGGCATAGTATAGATAACCTGAAGTATTAGCACATTTAATCTGAGAAAGAAAAAACTACTATGTTAAAACATACAGAGGCACAAATTGAGCAGACAGTTACTAAAATGGCAGGTTATATTTCACAGAAAAAGCAGACAGACTCGGGCCACTCTGGTGTAATATAAGCGCATTGGTACAGTCAATGGATTTATGCATGAGAGCAGTTCAGGGAATTGGGTTGGCTTATATCAATTTAAATTTTTGATTGATGCAGAATAGCAATATTTTACCTCATTGCTCCTAGATTGCTCCCTTGATACAAATAATTTGCGATTTCAAAATTAACTTGGGAGCTATTTTCCACATTCAGTTCTGTTGGCTTGAAAGAATAGTTGGGCATGAAGATGTCATGCTGGTTGACTTATGATGGTCTGATAATTCCTTAATGCAGTTCCTGGATTCTCAAGAATTATTTGCACTTAATTTCATAGACAGGTTATCAAATACTATGTTCAAGGTCCAGGAGCAGCCTAGCCCATGAACAGCATTTTGTACCAGAGTTTATAACGTACTGGCTAATTACTGTCACAGACTAAATGTATATATGTAGGTGTGTGTACATATACATATGTCCCTCTACCCTGACAATTGCAAAAAAACAAAACAAAACAAAAAACATGCCAATTATTATTATTTTCCTTAATTTTAAAAATTGCTTAAATGCCCCAAGATTTTCTTAGCCTTTTAAACGTAGTTTTTGTAACCTCTGAGTATGTTATTGACCTGAATTGTTGGAAATCAACTGAAACTATATGAGAAAGCTGTGCACCAATGTTAATTTTTCTCTCATTCACTTCTTTTTTTTTTGAGAGAGATTTTTTTTGCTATAGAACATGTGTACTTGCCAGAGAGACAGAGAGACAGAAAGTAAGAAATAACCCCCTTGAGGGTTTTTTCTCCTCTTGGCATTTTGGGCACACACTCTCATGTTCCCAGCATCAGTTTTAAGTCACCGGATCTGGGACTCAAGCCTCAGTCAACTACGTGGGAGTCCAACGATGTAACCATTATGCTATCTGCTGGTCTCTCTCATTCACTTCTTAAAAAAACACTAAAACAAAAAACCTGATTTTTAGCTTCTTTCTTCTTAGAATATAAATGCAGACACTTTCAACTCCTTTAACTCCCATTGCTATTCTTTCTCAGTCCCCACTCGTCAGACTCCCTGCTCCATCACAGACATAAATGGAGTCTGGATTGCCTGCTCCTCCGTCTTTCCAAGGCAAGAAGCTAAACATAAGCTTTCTGTTTTCTCGTACCATATTGGCATTTCTTCCCCCATGTCAAAGGATAAACTGTTCCCAGACCAGTTTAGAATTATTCTGGGTGATTTGCTATCATTTTTTTCTATTTACTAAATTAGAAAGAAAATAAATATTCATTTGAATTTCTTTGGGTTCCAATGTTTAGATCACATTAAAAAAATATATCTGTGCTTAACAAATATTCTTTCCTCCTAAATTTTTACCCTTCCGTTCTTTCTAGTTAACCTATTTTATTTTTGAGGTACATCTTTAGCTTAGAAGCAAATCCTTAAAAAACAAAAAACAAAAACCAAAACAAACAATAACACCTTAAAAGTACTTTATATGTCTTCTAGGTCAAATGATGTGAGCAAAGGTGAGAGGCAGCTGGGATTTCAGAATGGAGAAGTCTTAGTAGGAAGAGAAGCAAACAGGAGAGACTTGGGTAATCTATGCTTAGTGAAATTTAACTGCAGAAACTGGGCAATCCAACTTCGAAAATCAGGCAGGACATTATTTCTGGGAAACTGGGTGGTGGAAGTGGACGAGTGACCTTGAAGGATGGAATTGAGGGCAAAAGGCACAGTGGTCTCTTCAGAAAGCCTCACAGTTCCTTAAGGGACACTGATTAGCTTACAGCATCGTGGATAATAACTTCTTCGTTATTTCATAACAATTCAACACATTTTATTGAACATGAGTAACAAATTTCAGCAAGAGACACTTTTGGGGTTTTGGTCTCCTGGATGCAGTTTCCAGGCAATTTTAAGCCAGAATCAATGAAATAAAACTGAAAGTCTTGAAGGAAGAGGAATGAGTTTATGAGGGCAGATGTACTCCTATAGCACGGGACAGGTCAGGCCAGTGAGAGGTGATCCTAGCGAGAAGGTGTTGAGTTGGAGTACAGATTACAACGTCTATTTCCCTTGCTTTGACAGAACAACAAGCTTCACTCACTTACACAGATGAAATAGTTTTTACTAAGGCTGCATGGATATGGGAGAAGAGTTTCCAGGGCCAAAGGAAGGAGTCGTTGCTTTTTACTGGGTCTTTGGAAAAGGCATGACGTATTTATCCTTACAAAAATGAGTCATGGCTTTCCCGATGACCCAATAAATAAATCCTTTGTGCATACTAGCAAAGGTCTGGCAGGTTAAGAGGCATGTTGGAAGTAGCCCCAGTGCCTTTGGTCCAACTTTCAAAGGAAGACTAAGGAAGTGGCTATGAGATATATAATAGTCAGTTCTAGCCAAAGACTTCCTGTAGATGAAGGAATTGTACTCCACTTTATTTTATTTTTTGAGAGTTTTTTGCCATAGGGTGTGTGTGCTTGCCAAAAAGGCAGAGAGAGACAGAGAGACAGAAAGTGAGAAATCACCCCCCAGAGGGGATGGCCATGCTGCATTCCCTTCTCCTCCATTCTCCTCTCGGGATCTTGGGCACGCACGCACACGTGCACAGTGTGACTTTAAGCCACTGGGTCCAGGACTCGAACCGTGGTCGACTATGTGGGAGTCCAGTGACATAGCCATTATGCCAACTGCTGGTCCCTGTACTCTACTTTAAAACTCACTTTGTACCTTTCTCTGAGAAAGATAAAACTTACTTCATATCTTTCTCTGGGGATTTTGGTGAAGAATTGCTATAAAGTGGCAATAGTGGGTCTATGTGTGTGCATGTATGTGTGGACACATGGGTAGAGTAGGCAAGTGTCACCATCTGTCTTGTCCTTTGGAATTAAAACCTTGCTTTCTGGGATGGATTCAAGGACTCAGAACTTAAGCTACCTGTGAAGGAGATTGTAGGGGCCCAAAGAACAACCATCTGGCTAAGCATAAACATAACTTTCTGTATAATAATAATTATATATATATAATATATATACATATACATATATATATATATACATATATATAGTAATGATAAAATATAATGATAACAATAAAATACTAATAATGCTACTTTATAGAATTATTATTATGAAGATTAAATGAGTTAAGATGCATAGAAAGCATATATTGATGCTGTGTACCTAGTCATCACTACACTATAACTATTATTATTTTATTATTATTCATCAAAGAGTCTAAGCTCTAATCCTAGCTCTTCACTAACTACCTGATATAATTTTTGCCTCCTTGTGTATGGGACTTACAAAAGTTCATGAAAAATGAAATTAAAGTATGTGTTTATTTTAGTGCAAACATTTTTTGAAATCCATACATAGTTTTTTTGAATACATATTTTCATGAACTTTTGGAAGACTCGCTCATATCTCAGCCTCCTCATGTGTAAAATGAGAATAATTCTGACTGATCCATCCCTACCTTTTCCCCTCATCTAACAAATGAAATGATAAGTACAAAAAATATTCTGGAAAAAAGAAAGTGTTGGGAGAATGGACTGCATGTACGTGTTTTAGTTCCTACATCTCTGAGACTTTCAGAGCTATGCTTTGCTATACTATGGAATGCTAGATGTGACATTCTCTCAGGAGCTAGCAAAAGGTTCAGTCAGACAGCATGGAAGCCAGCTCCCCAAACACTGGGGCTAGATGGACAAAATATAGGTAATGGCATAAATCCACATGGCATGGAGGAAAGCCTAGGGTTCCGCTATCCCAAAAGCATTGTGTCCAACGAAAGCATCTAAAACCATGGCAACCGGAGTTAAAACCACAGCTGTATTGTAAGCAGAGCTATCAGAGTTAAAAGACGCACGCGCACACACAGTTCTGAAATGAGGGGAGTCCGGCAGGAGTAGGAAGACCCTGGGCAGTTCATGCACAAAAGAAGCACTTTCTGATCACAGGAAGCAGTCAAGACAGGGCCTCCGACCTGTGGTCCAGAGGGTTCTTACCTTTTTGACATCCCTGACCAAGTGGTACAATGTATTTGAGGGCCCATGTCTCTGAAAACAATAAAGAAGAATCAAACAGTTTTGCTTGTCAGGGGCTCTAATTGGCAAAGCAAGAAGGATCTGGAAGGAAGGGATCTGGTTGGCAGAGGGCAGTTCATTAAGATGGACCTTGTTCTAGTTGCTCAGTTGTACCAAACACACCGGCAGAGTTTTGGACTGTGTTTCCTCAAGAAAATGCATTTGAGGGTCTATATTCAAATGTTGTAGGGGAAGTCATCAACTCTGTTGACAGCTGGGCCAAAACGTCATTGAAGGAACTTGTCTTGCAGAAGGAAAAGCCAAGGGACTGTTTACTACGTTGGAGATTTGCTTTGGCACTTTGGCATCACAACTTGTTTCTTACCTGTCATGAATGAGAAATTGCCTGAAAAGGGGCTGGCTAAATTTTTCTGTAAAAGGCTAGATGGTAAATATGTTAGACTTTATGGGTCACATAGTCTTTTTTTTTTTGAGAGGTTTTTGCTATAGGGCACGTGTGCTCACCAGACAGACAGAGAGACAGAAAGTGAGAAATCACCCCCCAGGGGGGATGGCCATGCTGCAATCCCTTCTTCTCCATTCTCCTCTCGGGATCTTGGGCATGCACTCGCACTCGCCCGGCGTGAGTTTTAAGCCACCGGGTCTGGGACGTGAACTGCGGTCGACTATGTGGGAGTCCAGCAACATAGCCATTACGCTAACTGCTGGTCCGTGGGTCACATAGTCTTTACTGAAACTATTCAAGTCTGAGTTGCTGTACCAAAAGCAGTCATATGTGATATGTAGCAAATGAGCTTGGCTGTTTCCATACAACTTCATTTATAGACACAGTTGCATTTTACATAATTTTAATATGTCATAGAATAGGATTCTTCTGATTGTTTCAACCATTAAATAAAATGTAAAAAAATAATTTTAGTTTGCAGACTGTATAGAAGTAGGCAGTAGGCTTGATTTGGCTTTTGGATGAGAGTTTCCTGAAGCGTGGTTTAAAGAAAAAGATACAACCTATTTAAATATAAGAGAGATGTGGGGCCAGTCCATAGCTTGGTGGCTAAGGTGGCTAGATCACACACGACTGACTTCTGTGGTCTGAGTCCCAGACCTGGTGGTTTGAAAAACATGCTGGTCATGTCTGTGGATGACCAAAAATCCCTAAAGGCGAGCGAGATGAAGGAGAAGGGAGAGTGGCATGACTATTCCCATGCCCTCTTGCTTTCCCCTCTCTCGTCTGTGAGTGCATGCGCCCTCTAGCAAATTAAAAATAGTAATAATAAAATTTTAAAAACTTAAGGAAAAAAAAGACTCAGAGAAGAAATACAGGTTTGCTTGAGACAAGAATAAAGTGAAATGAGTTACCATTCTGTTGTCTTTCAGACATAGAAATGCGAGATAAAATGTAGGGTATCCAATTAATTTGAATTTCAGATAAATAGTGAACATGTTTTTTAGTTTCCTAGAGGGCATATGGGCTCGCCAGAGAGAGGCAGAGTGAGACAGACAGAGAAAGTGTACAAGCACCTCCCAGGAGGGATGACCACACTACAATTCCTTTTCCTCCATTTTCCTCTCAGGATTTTGGGCATGCATGCACCCATGCCTGGCGTGTTTTTCAAGTGTCTGGGTCTGGGACTCAAATTACACAGTCAGTCATGTAGGATCCAGTCACCTTAATCTCCATACCATTTGCTGGCCCAATAGTGAACGGTTTTTAACTTAAGTATGTTTCATGCAATACTTGGGATATACTAAAAAAAATTGTTGAGATTAGCATTTAACTGGGAGTCCTGTATTTTTTGCTAAATCTAATGACCTTTTTGGAGGCTCTAAAATAGTGAGGGTAAATCCTTAAGCACGGTTGCAGCTCATTTAATTATTGCGATGGTCCCTGCGAACTGCCTCAATCACCTGCTCATTTCTATGGACATATTAGTTGGAACTTTTTCCACTGAAGGATGCTATGCAGTACAGTGATCAAACCTCAGATTCTTTTCTTTTTCTTCCTTCCTTCCTTCCTCCCTTCCTTCCTTCCTTCCTTCCTTCCTTCCTTCCTTCCTTCCTTCTTTTGTTTCTTAGAGGTTTTTGCTATATGGCGTGTGCGCTCACCAGAAAGACAGAGAGAGACAGAGAGACAGAAAGCGAGAAATCACCCCCCATGGGGGATGGCCACACTGCAATCCCTTCTCCTCCATTCTCCTCTTGGGATCTTGGGCACACACACACACGTGCCTGGCGTGAGTTTAAGCCACTGGGTCTGGGACTTGAACCGCGGTCGACTGCATGGGAGTCCAGCAACATAGCCATTATGCTAACTGCTGGTCCCAACCTCAGATTCTCTTGGAATGCCTGACTCCTAACCCGCTCTGCTGCTGACTGGCTCTGGACACAAGCAAGCTGCTTAACTGTGACTCCATTTTATTATCTCTAAAATGAGGATAATAATACTACTTCATCTGTAGGGCTGTTTAGAGGATTCAATAATAATACAATGTTTACAAAGCTATGTTAGCACTCAGTAAATATTAGCTATGTACTATTATAACTGAGGCCATTCACCGTCCCATGACTCTCAACAGAGTATTCCCAGTAACCACAACTAGTTGACTGAAGTGATAAAAACTACTGGTTGTTCTTAATCTAGAACTTTTCTACTTAAATTTCTTTTCTATTTTTGGAATGAATGAATCATTTTACTCCTTCAATTCTGTAATTGGCATGCGAACCATTCTGCTCTGTTTTATTTTATTTTACTTTAATTGAAAAACCCCATTATTCTTACCAAAAGTCTCAGTATACCAAGTCAAGGAAAACCTGCAGAAAAAAACAGAAATCCCAAGACACTCCGCTAAGCTGTTTTCTACTTCCTGCCGAGAGAATGAGTCAGAGCCAGGGTGTTGCCATCTAACATCCACTGCTGGCTAGGGACAGGTTAACAAGCTCCATCCTGTTTGTTCTCTGGACGGTGGGACAGAGACATTACGTCAGATGAGGGGAGGGAAATCTCTGACACAGAAGCTTAGGTTCAGTACTGGCTTCTCTCTTTACTTTTGGGTTTTGTGACCTCGAATAAAACGAGTCACCCGTTGGCCTCTGCTGTGATGTGAATGTTTGTGGCCCTACCAAAATTCATATTGAAACTGAATTTCCAACTCAACAGTATTAAGAGGTGAGGTCTTTAAGGAGGTGTTAGGTCATGAAGGCTCCTTTGTTGCGAATGGGATTGAGGCCTCCGTAAAAAAGGCTTCATGCAACATTGAGCCCTCTTGCCCTCTGTCCCTTCCATCATGTGATGACACAGTGTTCACCCCTCTGGAGGATGCAGCACTACATGCTGTCTTAGAAGCGGAGAACAGCCTTCACCAGAACCAAACCTGCTGCATCATGAGCTTGGACTTCCTAGCCTCCAGACATATTGGAAATACATCTCTATTCTTTATGAATTACCCAGTCTCAGATATTTTGTTATACTAACACATATGGTCTAAGATTACCTTTATTTTCTCATCTGTAAAACAAGAGAAAACGATACGTTCTTTACATATCATTGGATTTTAGTGCATATCAGCTCAGATCCAATGCACTTAACTTGTTGAGTGTTGAGTGCTCTCAAAAAGGTCAGAAATAGCAGTTTTACTTATGATTATTCTTTGGTATCCCCAGTGAATGAATGAACAAATCAATACAAAACTAAGCAAAACATAAAAAAATTCTTTTGGGTAACTCCAAACAAAAGATACTTTACATTTTATTCCACTACTATGGAAAAAGCATGAACTTCATAGCTCTGAGGATAACAAAATGGTGCAAGATACTTCATCAGCTTTCTTTGATGCTTGGACTTAAATCAATCCTCCTTTGTCAATCACCTCAAATACCTATCTGGGCTTACAGAATAAACTGTGTTCTAGTTTCTAGAGCCTTGTGGTTTTGTGAAAGAATATGAGCACAATAGCCTTAGGGGGTCACGTAACTTTTTGCATTAGATGCTGACAACTGAGCAGTTAAAACAAGTGGAATCTTAGTGACTTGGTATCTGTTGTCTATGTAGGTCTAAGGGAGTACTTGTGAAGAATGATCCATGCATTCGTGGGTGAGGGGAAAAGAGAATCACAGGCATGTGGCGGGCAGGAGAAGGTAATAAACAAAACAAAACAAAATGTAGAGAAAATCAAAAGTGCCTTAGCTTGGCCCTACCGTATTGTACAATTCCTCTAGTCTGGAGATGGTGAGAAAACGGTGCATGCTTACTCCATTCTCTATGAGTAATTTCACAAAATCCACTCTGTCCAGAACTAGGGCATCCAACATGGCTTGTTCCAGAGACCCCACCTGCAAATCAAGTCACTGAGTTAGTCTGCTCAGGATCCAGGGATGGACTTCCTTGGTTTTCACATGAACAGCTTAAGAATGGATGCCTTTGACATCTGGTAAACCTTCAGCACCTCCAAGATCGTGGTATAAGACGCTTCACAGCTCTGCTTTTGGGATGACCACAGTCTGTTTTGTCTTTTGGGGCCTGTCTTTGCAGATAGAGGCCAAGGATTTCTAGTTCCAAAAGCTATTTCTTTCTTGAATCACTTTCTCATTATGGATTCAGAGAAGGTAAAAGGGTTTACAAGGCTTTCCCCCGGGAATTTTCTGACTGAACTTTTGCAACACCAATAAAGTGTCAAGTGGGTTCTTTACTGTCTTCATTTTCATCATCCTTAGGCTCTGAGTGAGACTTCTGGCTAAAAAAGGGACTCTAGTAAATAGACCTAACTGCCTACAGAGATGCTGGGTCCTTGTGTGGAAGTGAGTGAAACCAAGGCAGGCTGGTATCAGCTAAGAAGAGAACTGACTGCTTCCTGGATTTGCTACTGCTGATGCTTTTTATTTCATTCCTTTTACAAAAGTTTCCCAGTGTCCAGATTTTTGGACAAACCCTTCCATACTGGTCATCCACCAGCACTAAACAAAGACAGATGCTCCATCCCAGGCAGACGCTCCCTAGGGGAGAGAAAGATTTAAATGTGACCTGCCCATGAGTGGTGTGATTCCAGGCGTAGAAGTCAGATTTCAGGCTGCCAGGTTGCCTGCTTCCTGTGGATCCATGAGGACACCAAAGGCCAATTTCCCAAGCTTTTATTTTTGGTAAAGTCGGTTGAGGGAAACAAACCAAGAACAGTTACATAAAGTGTTGGTCCCCTCGTGTTTTTTTTGGGGGGGAGTAGGGAGCTCAGCCACCAGGACCAGATGGCACCTGCACTTGCAGGCCTGCTAATTCCTGCATCCTGAGGTGCCACCCAGCCACAAACCAGCACGGGATGCCACTGCTGGGAAACAGCAAAGCAAACTGCTGATCCCACTTCTTCCCTAAGTTCAATGATTATGACTATGTCTTATGTGTTTTTTCAGGGATAGCAAAAGAAATGGTACTCTTTGCAGCTGAAGATGGTTACCAAGGGCCCCTCATAGTACGGAAATGCGTGGCAAGTTTGGAGTTGTGCCTAGCTGTGGCTTCCACCAGATGGCAGCATTTTCCTAAGTATGAGAAAGGGCCCCAGCTCAGGAACTGAGCTACAAAAGCAAACTTGCTATTTTATAGAAAAGGTAAAGGATTTTTTCTCAGCAACTCTCAGAGGCTTCTTAAACAAATACCCACGCCCAAACGAGGGGGCTTTTCAGGGATACGACATATACTCTACCGGCCATTGTTGCCCATAAATAAAGATCTGGCTGCGAGCGATGTCGACTCTGTTCCAGGCTAAAGCTAAGCTCAGTTGATCTGGGGCCGAGGCATTGGCTCCTGTGTGCAGACAAGTGGGAGGAAAGGGTGGGAGAGAGAAAACAATGATCAGTGATTACAGGAACATGCCCATGCTACTTCTCTGCTACAATCTCCCAGCTTCCCGAAGAGCAGACTCCATTAAACAATAGGGTTTCTCAATTCAGCACTATTGACATGTTTAAAAAAAATAATTATTTTATTTAACTTTATTTTTAATTTGACCAGAGAGGAACAGAGAGAGAGAGAGAGAGAGAGAGAGAGAGAGAGAGAGAGAAGTAAGGCAAGCTGCCAGGTCCTAGGCTCTACCCAGGTTGGCCATGTGGGAGTCCAGTGCCTTTAACCACCATGCCACCTGCTGGCCCCCAGCATTATTGAATTTTGAGCAGGATAATTCTCAGTTGTGGGGCTACCTTATATATATAGGTCATTCAATAGCATCCCTAGAACCAACTTAGGAGATACAAATAGGACCCCAAACCCATCCTCTCAGTAACACAATAAAATACATTTCAAGACATTCCAAATGCTCAGAGTATGGAGGGAGGTGAGCTCCCTCTGAGAACCCGTGCTCTACAGTCCACTGAGCAGCTGCAGCACCACCACCACCTGGGCACTTGTTAGAAATGCAGGCCTCAGGCCCTGTCCCAGACCTACAAAATCAGTTTGTATTCTAAGATCCCAGACAATTTATGTACACAGTCAAGTTGAAGAAGCACTACTGTGTAGTGCTTTTTGCTTCTGTTGGCCAGTCGCTGGTTTCAAGGCTTCATTGGAATGGTATTTGCAAGGGCATGGTATCTTCATCAATGAGCAAACCACCATAGCCACTCCACTGAAAAAGAGTCGTGACCTTTTAAGAGAAAGGAAAGCAGGTGGCTTGGGTATACTTTTATCTGTGGATAGAAACTGGCTCGTCTCTAGTCCTGTGCTGTTCCCATGTGGCTATTATTAATACAATCCAAATAGAAGTAGAATCTCGGCTCCTCAGGTACGTTGACTAGCTGCGATGGCTACTGTAGGGACCGACACAGATATAGAACATTCAATCACTGCAGACAGTTTTACTGGGGCGGTGCTGGTCTAGGGGAGTGCAGCTGTCCGTAAAGGCAGACTGCCAAGCAGCTGGATGTGGAGCTGCTGGAGGAGCACGGCCGGTAGCGAGAACACTGGGCTGCAGCCGGGGGCTGTCTGCTATTCGTGGCTATCTGAGACTGGACTTCTCTAAGCCACCATTTCACCACCTGTGATACGGGCATGAGGATGATCCTATTTACTTGGCTGAGATACGAGATTGAAAGGAGAACAAAAAGTGAATTCCCCTCTGAATGGGTTTTTCACCATTTGGCAACACCGTTGGTGCACTAAGGGACTTTGCACGGTGTTTGCTCAGGTGAATGCCACAGGGTGTCCCACCAGCAGGGAAGCGGGGCAAAGGGCCACACTCTCTGGCTCAGAGCTTTTGCACATTTTACATATAGTAGGTGAGGTATTAGGCCCTTTTACACATTGCTATATGTGCTGTCCCAATAATATCAGGGACCCGGTCTCCTTGTCTCCATGGTACAGATGAAGATGAGATCTAGAGACTAGATGGAATAGTCAAAGATCAAACAGCTACTAAAGAGGATAAACGGGCTCAGTGTTCTTATGCCAGAGGTGGGATTCAGACTCAGCGAGCTCTTCCTTCACTCCATCATGGCTGCTTCTGGTGTTTGTGAATGAAGAAGGGATAGCAGGAGTGACAGCTGCCCATTCCTCTGGTTTAGCATGGGAAGCCAGATGCCATGAGGTGGGAGAAAAGTTCCTGATCAAGCTGTGTCAGTGACCACCAAACTTTGCTGCACATTAGAGTCACCTGGGGAGCTTTACAAACATCTGGGCACGGTGGCATGCACCTGTAGTCCCAATCACTTGGGATGTTGAGACAGGAGGATCATGAGTTCAAAGCCAGCCTGGGTAACATAGCCAGATCCCACCTTAATAGAGAAAGAAATCCTGTGCTCAGGTTGCACCTCATAGCAATTAAATCATGTTTGGGATGGGATCCAGGCACCAATAGGTTTAAGGCTCTCCAGGTGTTTCCAATATGCACCAGAGTCTGGGAACTACTGTGCTATTGCATCTCCTTTCCTGCTTACCCTTGACTCTTTGCTCTGAACTCTGCAATATCCACATTAAGAATTAGACACAGGGGATCAGCAGTTGGCGTAATGGCTATGTTGCTGGACTCCCATGTAGTCAAATGCAGTTCAAGACCTGGACCTGATGGCTTAAACTCATGCCAGGTGCCTGTGTGTGCGTGCTCAAGATCCTGAAAGGAGAATGGAGGAGAAGAGATTGCAGTATGGCCATCCCCCTTGGGGGTGATTTCTCGCGTTTTGTCTCTCTGTCTCTTTCAGTCTTTCTGGCAGTGCACGTGCCCTATAGCAAAAACCTCTTAAAAAAATAATTAGACACAGTATTTCCTAGGTGAGTAGCTCTTAAATTTGAGCAGGTATAAGTGTAAATTAGAGCTTTTATTGATTTATTTTTGTACAGGGAGTACATGTATGTACACGAGAGAATGAGAACTCACCCCCCTCCCCAGTGGGGCCCAGTTACACCAAAATCCTTTTCCCTTTAATTCTCCATCCCATCAGGATCTTGGGTGAGCTGGCATGTTTCTCAAGCCTCCAGAGTTGGGACTTGGACCTTGGTGGGATCCTGCTGGAGAACTTTTCAAAATATAGATTCTTGGCTCTCACTTCTGGACATTCTGCTTTAGTAGGTCTGAGGTGGGGCCCAAATTTCTGAATTTTTGATAAGCTTCCAGGTGATGCTGAATCTGCTGGTCTGGCACCACACCATCAAATGCACGGCCGGCCCTGCAGAGCTGTGGTGCTATATACCCTTCATAGGTTGAAGAGCATTTATTTTATTTTTTTTTTATGTAGGCAGAGTGCACATGCACTCTCTGGGAGAGAGGGAGAGGGAGAGAGAGAGAAAGAGAGAGACAGAGAGAGAGAAAGCATGCCCCATGGGGCATAGTCACACTGTAATTCTTTCCTCTCCATTTCTTCCTTTTGGGATTTTGGGCATGCATGCACACATGGCCAGTGTATTTTTCAAGTTGCCAGATCCAGGACTTGAACTGTGCATTTGCTCATGTGGGATTCAGCTGCCTTAAACACTACACCGTGAACTGGTCCTGAAGAACATTTCTGATGTTGGTGTCCACACACTGATGAGTTCGTATAACCACAGACTTGGAGTAAGTTGATTAAAATTCATTAATATTAGTTCAGCTTTCACAGGAAATTTTCCATTAGAAAAATGACTTCTCAGATAACAACAGGGACTAGAAACTTGTATTAGGGTAACTGACATAGACAAGAGATGAATAAGAATGTGTCAGAATGTACTGTCCTCAATTTGGACAGAAAAAAGTGAAGGCTATTGGGGTTGCATTCAGAAAGGTAGCATTTTTATACTCTCCTTTGCTTCTTGAAGCAGTGAACTGGTCATTGTTGACTGGCTGTAATGGTCTACTCATTTCCTCTGCCATTTGTGTGTCACAGATGTGTATGTCACCCAAGTCAATAATTGCAGCACAAACTCGTACAAGAGCACATACGAGGAAGCAGTCATTGAAGTCAAAATAAGCTTCAGGCTTGGATGTGATCAGGTAAGTGTCAAATGAAAGAATGAAGCCAATGAGTCTTGACTTCTCAAAAATTGAAAATACATCACTCAAGAATGGTCTTGGCTGACAGTTTGAATTAGGGTTCTCAACCAGGTGATCAACCACCCTGGATGGCCAGTGCGGTCACAGCTGTAGCACCAAAGTTCCTGAAATCTGTTAGAAGCCTTATTCCTGAGTAGAGCTGGATGGCTGGTCACTCTGTCCTCAACTGTGACTGTATAGGAATTAGGTAGAATGTTAAATATATTCATATCTCAATGTATCCATAAACTCATTTAACTGGATCTGGATGGTGCAGGTTCCACAAGTTCCTCAGGGAATTGTAACATGAAGACAATATTAAGAATGTCTGGTGTACTTAACACTTGTCCATTCATTCACTCATTCTTCTGTTTGCTCATTCATCTACTTAGGCATTCAAAGATACTGAGTTCCTGCCTTCTCCTGTGGCAGTGTGGGGATCAAGATGAACAAGACAGCATCCTTTGTTTTGAGAGCTTACAGTCTAGAGGAGAGAGGTTCATATTAAATATGCTACCACATGCAATAATTCATTTATCTGCTTAGCAGATATTTATTGAATACCTTCTGTTCCAGAAACTGTTTTGGCACTGAACATCCAATGGGAAGCAAGATTGGTAAGGTTGCCCACTTCACAGAACATACATTCTACTGGTGGTGGCACAGCATTCAGAAAATAAATAAATAATAATCAATGTGCTTTCAGATTGTATGAATGGCACAGAGCCATTCCCAAGGTATTGGGCTTGGAAAGGTAGCACTTTACACTCTCATGTGCTTCTTGAAGCAGTCTACTGGTCATTGTTGACTTGCTAAAATGGTTTGATCATTCCCTTTGCCAAGGTCTGTGGGCCCTGTGCCTACATAAACAATCAGTGTGGCAGCACCATTCTGGCTTCCCAATCTTGCATGTACTCATGAGAGAAATATTACACCAGCCAGCTGGAGCAATCTGTTCTTCAGACTGCCCTCTGGAATTGGGGCTGGAAATGGAGTCATTAATCTTTTAGACACATGTATGGGAGTTCTTTGGAGCATCTGGTGGGCCCTACCCCCTCTTTCCATATAGGAAAGAGAAGGTTAGAAAATCCCCTAAAGTATCAAAATGGGTAATGAGGTCCATACTGGTCCTGGTATAGGCTCAGGGAGCTCCCCACCCACCTATAGCACTGTATCTTGGCTGGTCCCTAATCCAAGGTGGGTGAGAGGACTTAGAAACTTTTGAGAAAGCCTCTTCAAAACACCAATCTAAGGATGATAATCACAGTGACCAGGGCAGTGGTGAAGGTGGTCTATTAGAAGAAGTGGACGGGAA